TGCCTCAGCCTCCCAAGTAGCTGGGATTACAGGTGCACGCCACCACGCCCAGCTAATTTTGTATTTTTAGTGGAGACAGGGTTTCACCATGTTGGCCAGGCTGGTCTCGAACTCCTGACCTCAGGTTATCCCCCCGCCTTGGCTTCCCAAAGTGCTGGATTACGGGCATGAGCTAACACGCCCGGCAGGATGCTGGCTTTGAGTTCATTTAAATACAGAATAAACCTGAACTCCACAGACGCCATCCAGAGTGATCACAGGTGGCATCAAAAGGTCAAAGGGCAGCCTCCATAGGGTTTCCTTCCTGGTTCTGAGACTTCCCAGGGACAGCAGAACTACCGTGCACTGGTCCCAGAGAAGCCCCTTTTGGCCACCCTGAGAGGTGTCTTTGTCCCCAGATGCCCAGGAGAAGCAGGGGTGTGGGGACCGGCCCTCGCCGTTCCTCCTCCTCCAAGTCTGCCCACTTCCCGCCCCAGGGAGAGCCCGAGGCCAGGAGGCAGGCTGGCCCAGGCAGGCTGATGGTGGAGGGCGATGGGGAGGTTGGGGGGCCCTGGACTTGCCCTCCCAGTCCTGGCAGCTTGCGGGTGGGGAGGGCTCTTCAGGAAGGCATAGTTGGCCTCCTGCAGACGCGCACCTGGCCGGCAGGCACGAGGCTCTGCTGAGCCTCACAGAAGTCCAGGAGGCTACGCCAGAGGGGGCAGCAGCGCAGGAGAAGGTGGTCTCCTATGAGGGTGGGAGTCAGGCGGAAGTCAGTCAGGGTCAGGTGAGAGAGGTCAGGGTCAGGTGGGAGGGATCAGGGTCAGGCGGGAGTCAGTCAGGGTCAGGTGGGAGGGGTCAGGGTCAGGCGGGAGGAGGCAGGGTCAGGCGGGAGTCAGGGTCAGGTGAGAGAAGTCAGGGTCAGGCGGGAGGCGGGAGGGGTCAGGGTCAGGCGGGAGAGGTCAGGGTCAGGTGGGAGGGGTCAGGGTCAGGTGGGAGGGGTCAGGGTCAGGCGGGAGGAGGCAGGGTCAGGCGGGAGTCAGGGTCAGGTGAGAGAAGTCAGGGTCAGGCGGGAGGGGTCAGGGTCAGGCGGGAGAGGTCAGGGTCAGGTGGGAGGGGTCAGGGTCAGGCGGGAGGAGGCAGGGTCAGGCGGGAGTCAGGGTCAGGTGAGAGAGGTCAGGGTCAGGTGGGAGGGATCAGGGTCAGGCGGGAGTCAGTCAGGGTCAGGTGAGAGAGGTCAGGGTCAGGCGGGAGGGGTCAGGGTCAGGCGGGAGGGGTCAGGGTCAGGCGGGAGGGGTCAGGGTCAGGTGGGAGGAGTCAGGGTCAGGCAGGAGTCAGGCGGAGTTGGGCGGCTCTCCAGCCCAGCCCTGGCCCCACCTGTGTTCCCACCAGGAAGAGCCCAGCCCTGCCCTCACCGATCAGGCAGAGCCCCTCCTGGGCCCGCGTGACAGCCACGTTCACTTGGTTGGGGTCCACAACGAAGCCCAGAAACTTCTTGAGCCAGCTCTTGGTGGGCCGCTGGTCCAGGTCGCTCTTGGCACAGGTGCGGACGGTGCTCACCAGCACATAGCGCCACTCGCTCCCTGCGAGATGGAAGGTGAGGCCCTGCGGCCACTTCGCCCACCCTCCAGGCCCCACCCATGAGCCCCCAGCCTCACCCTGGCTCTTGGTGATGGAGGACACGGCCACCCCAGTGATGCCCTCTCGCCGAAGGGCCTTGCTGATCTCAGAGGCCTGCGCGTTGTAGGGCGTGAGGACGGCGACGTCCTGGGGCTCTATGGTCCTCCCCAGGGTCAGCTGCTTGGTGATACGGACCTGAGGGGCCGAGGGGGCAGGTGGAGAGGACCCTGGTGCCTCCCCTGCCCTCCTCCAGGAGGCCCTCCCTGACCTCCAGGCACCAGACACTCACCACCTCAGCCACCTCCTCCAGGTTGGCCTTGGAGTTCTCATTCCCTTCATCCGTGGACACCAGCAGGCTCCGCTCGTGGCCCTGCACGTGGCCAAAGATGACAGGGCAGCTCTCCTTGCCAGCGTGGCCCAGGACACTGGGCGGCCTCTTCAGGCCCTGCCACGTCTTCAGCCTGCTCTTGTAGAATGCCATTGAGGGGAAGGCACAGATGCCCTCGTGCTGCAGGCAAGGATGTGCACTGGTCAGAGGTGCCGGAGCTGCTACCTGGGGCTGTGGCCCCCCAGGGGCTGCAGGTGGGCTGGGGGCTGAGCGGCGCGGGCTCACCATGCGGTACTGAGTGTCCAGCATGTGTGCGTCCTCGTGGTACCGCTCGAACAGAGACCGGTCCAGACCCAGGTTTTGCAGCCACTCGTTCTTGACCACAGGCCGCAGCTGCTTGTGGTCTCCAAGAAGAACCACCTAGAGGAACAGGCAGGCCTGGCCCTGACACTGCTAGACCCAGAAGGACCCCAGCCCCACACAACGCCCACGTCTGCACACACAGGGTGCCTCAGGTGCGAGACTGTGCCAGGGATGCCTGCCCGTGCTACCCACACACCCTGCCCCACCAACCTTCTCGGCCTGTGGGAACCGCACCAGGGGGATGAGGGTTTCAGGTTCTGTGGCCATGCCTGCCTCATCAACAAGGATCTGCCTCACATCCAGGGTTTTGAGGCTGGCGGAGGCTGCACAGGAGCAGGTGCAGAGGATGACCTCGTGCCGGTCCAGCTCGAACTTCCGAGCCTCCCACAAGACCTTCTTGTACCTGACAGGGACACTGCCTGTCACCCCAGGGCCCCCACGCTGCAGGCAGCTCCACCCCCGGGCCCCTGCCACTTACAAGACCAGGTCCTCCCTGGAGAAAAGCTCCCCGCTCTGCAGCCGGGTGTCAAAGGCCTTGATTTCCGACGAGTACGGGTTGGGGGCCTGCCGGATCCGATGGTGCAGGGTGATGCTCCTGGCGGGCAGAACACAGTGAGCCCTGTCCACGCAGGCCCATCCCGGGGGCAGAGTTCAGTGAGACCCACCTACACAGGGCTGGCGGGACAGCTCAGCCCTACCCGGCCCAAGCCCCAAAGACAGCGGGCACACCTGAGGCTCTGGTTCGGCCTCCCCTCCCGGGGGTTCCTCCTGAGCAGCTTCCTGCTGCCCAGGCGCGGCACTGGGAACTCGCTGGCCTCGGCCTGCTCGCTGTACACCCGGAGGGGCTTCAGGTCCATCCTTCTCAGGAGCAGTTCTGAGGGCAGTGGGGGGACGTGAGTCTAGCCCCACGTACCAGCACCCCAGAGACCCCCACCGCCGACCCCGGCACACCTGCCAGGACATCCACCGACTTGTTGGAGGGGCCACAGTACAAGATGCAGGGACCCCCCAGCTGCGTCTCCCCATGGGGGGAGCCTCCGGGCTGCACCTGCTCCTGGTTTGATTTATGAAACCAGAATATGATGTGGAGGCCCACGATCGTCTTCCCTGTACCTGCAGCCGGAGAACAGGAGATTGTAGCCCACCCCCAGGGTCCCTGTGGCCCAAGGCAGCCCAAGGCAGCCCGCAGCTCCCCCTGCGTGGGCCCTACCTGGCGGGCCCTGGATGACTGTGAGAGGCTTCTCCAGAGCCTCCCTGACCGCCCTGTTCTGGCTGGGGTTCAGCTTGTGGCGGCCTCCGGGGATGTCATAGGTCTGCCGCTCCAGGAACCTGCTGGGGATCACTGAGAGCCGGGCAGCCTCCCTGAGCACTCACGCAGGGTGGGGTTGGGGGTGAGAGGGGAAGCTGGAGGGGTGGGGCAGACCTACCTCTGCAGAGGGGCTGCGGGACAGGCCGGCCCAGTGCGATGCTGGTGACCAGCGGGGACGCCTCCTCTAGCCCACGCACGGCTTCCTCCTTGCGGCTGGGGGTGAAGGCAGACACTGGAAAACCAACAGGACTCCCAGGAAAGGGACTGCTGCCCCACGAGGTACCCCCCTCCCAGAAGGGAGGAGCCATGGGTGGTCCCCCAGCCCAGCCTCCGTTGGTGGAAGCCACTCACAGATCAGGAAGCTGCTTGGGCAGCAGCTCAACGGTGAACAGGGTGCCTGGCCTCAGCACCTCTTCTGGAACCTTCTCCATGCCCATGTGGTGGATGAAGAGGTGTACCAGTCTGGGAGCCTCCTGCCGGTCTGCCCGGCGCTCCTGGTCACAGTCCTCCGTCTGCCCGTGGGCCACCCAGGTGTATGTGCCGGGGTCGACACTCAGGCCAGGGCCGAGGCTGCTGGGCCCGGGGCGTGGGCTGGCCGTGGGAGCCGGCAGCCCCTCGAGCCGGATGCAGAGGTAGCAGCAACTGAGGTTGATGTCGACACAGTTCTCCTCGAGGAAGGCGGCCTCCAGGCGGAAGGCGCCCTGCAGCTGCCCCTGCGGCATCCGTGACACATCCCAGGAAACACTCAGGTGCTGAAGTGTGACAGCGTCGTTCTCAGCAACTGCACCAGTGGCCGACTCCAGAGCGCAGAATGGCTCCCACACACAGGCGTACTCATCCACGTCGCGATAGCGGTCCCGCGGGGCCTGGTACACGTGGCCCAGGAAGCAGTCTCCGGGCCGCTCCACGTGCTCCAGGCAGAGGCTGAAGCCAGGTGCCACAGTCCAGAGCTGAGGGCTTGGTACCAGGAAGCCGTGCTGCAGGCTGGCGCCGAGCTGCACCTGCAGGGTGTCCCCACTGCCCAGCTCCCGGGCCACCTCCAGGAAATGGCCACAGCGGCTCCGCTGCACCTGCACCAGCCCCCGCCGTGGGGACGCCTCACCCTTCTCCTGGATGAGAGCAGCCGCCTCCGGCCAGCGCTGCAGCTCCACCAGCGCCAGCAGCTGCTTCCACAGAGCCGTCTCCACGGCCCAGGTGTGTGGGTCCAGCACAGTGCCAGGCAGTGGCAAGGGCGGGCCGGATCCCTGCACTGAGTAGACACGGCGCCGCCACAGGAGCTGCATGCCCGGCCGGCCTGCCAGGGCGCGGGGGTGCTCGGCCAGCTGCAGGGAGCTGTAGGGAACGGGGCAGGGGTCGGGCAGCGTCTCCCGGTTGCTGGGGAATTGCAGCCGGAAGCAGCGGGAGCCTGCCTCCACATCCACCACGAAGCCCAGCTTGTCCAGAGGCTGAGCCTTGAGCTGCACGGCCAGGTGCAGGCTCTGCGCCCGCCGCTGATAGCTCTGGGCAAGTGCATGCTGGAGGCTGAAGCCCTGGCAGAGCCCATCAATGTCCCTGGCAGAGTAGGCGGAGCCCCCATGGCCCAGTGCCAGCAGGATCTGCCGCTGCAACACCACGTCCAGGTACCTGCGGATGGGCGAGGTGGCCCATGTGTACCATTCCACCTGCAGCGAGTAGTGACCACCCTGCTGCTGGTGGCCCCAGGTGCAGCGGCCGAACGCCGAGCGCTCCAAGGCCTTGCGGAGGTCACGGCCTGCAGGAGCCAGGAACGGGTGCATGTCGTCCGTGGTGACTAAATCCACCATCTGCTCGTAGTCCTGAGTGCGGGCGGCAAACTGGACCTGCTTCCAGAGGGAGGCCAGGAGGTGCAGCTGTGTGTCGGGGGCGCTGCCCCCACCGCCACGCAGGTGGTGGCTGAGGTGCAGTGACAGGGGCACCCGCTCCCCATGCTTCTCACACAGGGCCTTGAGCTGCTGGCTGTGGGGTGCTGGCTGCCACCGCAGAGGCGTGACCGTCCGCGTGCGTTCGCTGCCCACCAGGAACTCTGCCACAAGCCTGTTAAACTGAACCATGTACTCCTTCACCATGATGTGGGCCGCGCGGAAGCCCAGGGTGCTGTCCTCGTCCGGCTGCTCGTAGAAGCAGTCAGACTGCAGGCGGTGCCGGCGCAGCAGCCGAGAGAAGTAGCACGCGGCCACGACGCAGGCGTCCACAGAGTCCAGGTGGGCTGGCAGCTCACGGCCGGCACCCGGGTGCTGCCTGATCACCTGCTCTGCCTCCTCGTAGGACAGCTGGCGGTCAGAGCGGACCACGGAGGGTGCAAAGTGCAGGCTCTTCAGCTGGCCACTGGCTTTCTCCATGGTGAGGAACAGGGAGATGGCCAGGCGGTCCCGGCCCGGCAGGAGGCTGAGGATGTCCTGGCAGAGGCTGGCAGGCAGCATGGGCACTGGTTCCCTGCCAGGGGCATAGAACGCAGCACCCTGCCTTCGGGCCTCCACGTCCAGCACCCCGTCCCTGGGCACGAAGCTGGCAACATCAGTGATGTGCACAGCCACCTCGCACCGGGGACCCAGGTCTCGGACACTGAGGGCATCATCGAGGTTGCAGGCGCCCTGGGGGTCCACAGTGAAGGTCAGGAAGGCGCGGCAGTCCTCTCGGCGGCCGGCAACCCGGCCAAGCTCCGACTGGTATTTCTGCAGTGCCTTGGTGATGGCAGCCAAGTCCGACGGGGGCACCCTCAAGCTGTACTCCAGGCCAAGGATGCGGAGGCCCTGCTCCCAGGTGCTGGCCTCAGGCAGCACCTCCCGGACGATGCCCAGCGGGTAGTAGAAGCCCGGCCGCCACAGGACAATGTGGACCCAGAAGAGCCGGCTGTGCCGCGCCTCCGCCGTGAGCCTCTCAAGCCCCACACGCTGCAGCCGGCCCTTCCGGAGGCCGTAGACGGGGACCCGCGACGGGTCCTTCAGCTCGGCCACAAAGATCTTGGTCACGGAGCCATTGATGGGGACCATGATGCGCGGGTCCCACCTGTCCATGCGGCACACGAACGCCAGCTCCTGCCGCCGCCTCTTCAGCACGCCCAGCACGCGGCCCCGAAGCCGCCCCTCGGGGGCCCTGTCTCCCGAAAGGAGCTGCACCAGCACCTCATCCCCGGTGAAGGCCATCCCACAGTCCAGGCGGCCCCTGACCTGGATGGGGCCCGAGGAGGCGTCGTCCAGCGGGATGGCGGACGCCCGCTCAAAGGTCTCCTGCACGAAGGTGCAGGGACGGTACCGCTCCGGCTCCGCACGCAGCAGCCTCCGCAGC